ATATTTGCTGTGTAAGGTGGGCACTGGCCAGCTCTGCTAAGATATCTTTCCTCCATCCACATTTAATTAGAAATCATTTGTACTTATCTTTCATATTCCACTCTATCAACTCAAACCAGTCCATATTATTTTGAGCAAGGACAGGCAGGAAGAGGGTGTCACTGGCTAGAGATGCTCATCTGCTCAGGAGTTTGTATCTCATCATAGGGCAATGGGTGAAGGTAACTAACACCTTTTGTGGCTCTCCCTAGTCTATAGCTCCCACGGCCAAGCTGCCCCCTGCAACTTTATGGACTGCATGGTGTGCTGGGTGCCTTGTTCTAGGATTTTACTAATAGTTACTAAGCAGGCCACAACTGGGTGATGGTGAGGGAATTCAGTTTCTCAACTCACAGCTTGAGTTTTTGCCCCTAGCAGGAAGGTTGGTGGCCTCAGCTGGTGAGGAATTTACTCAGGGAGAACTCCTTTTCTGAGCCCTGCTCTCTTCATGTCACTCAGTGTCAGGCACACCACCTGGACCTCTTCTAGCTTCCCTGTCTCAAATTGATTATGCCCTCCTTCCATTTATGACTGACCTTGGCCCTTTAGCACAACTTTTAAAAAAACTATTTATTCATTTGAGATAGAGTTTTACTATGTTGTCCAGACTGTACTTACATTCCTGGGGGCCCAAGCGATCCTCCTGCCTCAGCCTCCAAGTAGCTGGAGTAACCACTGGTGAGCAGGTCCAGCACCTGCTTCTCAGAGCTGGATGATTGGAGAGGATTCATGCCTTATAGTTTCCATGGCTGCAGTATTATGTTGCAAAGGATGTCTGCTATAGTTCAGATCTTAAATGTCCCTCAAAAGTCCATGTGTTAAAGATTTTGGTTCTCAGGGTGGCACTACTTAAAGGTGGTGAAATCTTTGAGATGTGGAGACTAGTAGGAGGTCTTTGTGTCATTGGGGATGTGTGCTCCAGTCTTTTCCTCTCTGTTTTGCTAACTCTTGATGAAGTGAGCAGTTTTGCTACATGTCCTAAACATGTACTGCCTCATTACAGGACAAAAAGCAATGATATGGGCTGGTGAAGTAGCTCAAGTGGTAAAGCTTCTGCCTAGCAAGTGCGAGGCCCTGAGTTCAAACACCAGTACCACCCAAAAAAAAAAAAAAAAAAAACAAAAAAACTAAACAAACCCCAAAACCCAAGACAGCAATGGTGCCACTTGGTCATGGACTAGGACCTCCAAAAGCTGTAAGTCAAAAATAACCCTTTTCTCTTTATATAAGTTTGTCTCAGGTATTTTGTTAAAGTGACTGAAAACTGATTAATTCAAGGCACAGTGTCTTGGCAGGAAAGAGTGCTGTTTGAGGAGAATGGGGTAAAAAGATTTTGAGGGATATAGAAAAGGAACCATGAAGGTCTGTTTTTGGCACAAAAGACAGGATTGGGTGTGGGGGATAGCATGCATCTCAGAATTTACTACTGCTGACCTTGGTCAATTCCTTTATTTCACAAAGAGTAACTGAAGAGAATGGAGATTGAGTGCTTTCCTTGCTCTAATAATTAGTGGCACAGGTAGGACTGGAACTCAGGCCAGTGCTTCTTGTTCCATTCTGAATAGTCTGGTCTTGGGTCACAATTGTTTATCTGCCTCTAAAATGAGAACCCCTCCAACCTCACCCAGGGTGGGAAAGGCCAGGAAGCATACCAGAGAGCTGCAGGAGCTGCTAATGAGACTGGACAGGAATAGTGACTGGGAATTGCACTGAGTGACAGCATTCCTCTTCCCAGAGGCTCTGGAAAGGGGGAAAAATTCCAGCCTATTGTGCAATTCCTTGGAGGCATGCAAGCAAAAATGAGGAAACTGGGGTAGGAGGGCTTGGGTCTGAGCTCCACAGCCTAGTGTGAAGTGCAGATTGGAAGGTAACGTGAGCGTTCCAGGATGTAGAATCTGTTGGGAGTATGAATCCTGTGAGCTCTGGCTAGTTCCCTCTGATCCAGTTCAACAGGATTACGTATTGAGTGCACAGTAGACACTCAACAAACATTAGTTGGTCAGACACACCATGTTTCCTTTTCCCTCTGGGCTTCTGCATATGCAGGTTCTTCTGTTTGGAACATGTCCACATTTTCTCTCCACATATATGGTTCACCTGATCTCCTGTAGGACTCAGACTTGTCATTAGAGAAAGCATTCTCTGACCTCCTCAAGGTACCCCTCTTCTGGGTGCTTATTGCACTCTGACACAGATCCCATCATATATTTACCATGTTGGGCTATGATGACCAACACCATGGATTAGATGGGGTGGGGGCACACCAAGGGCAAAGATCACAAATTATCTGTCTCTGCATTCTCAGTGCCCAACACTTAGTAGGCCCTCAAAAACGCTGGCTTACTAATTAATAAGTTCTATGCCCACTTCTTTCACTCATGACTATGAAAAAGAGCCCATAACAGAACACCAAACCAACATGCTAATTTTTTTTCCAAAGTACTATAATTCTAGTTTAAAAGCCAAGTTACCTTTCCAGTGTTATGGTTTTAAACACTGATTATCAAATGTAAAAAGAAGAAATCCCTTGAAAATTAACTGTGCCTTACAATAAGAATGCACTATCTATACAGCCTGTGGTCCCCCAAATTCCCTCTGGCTTAAGACAGAAGGGGTAAATGTTCAAGGGTTTTCCAGCTTAGTTTCATCTTGTACATGCAGCAGGCAGCTGAGACAGCCATGATCATGATGCTGCTTTAGGGTGGCTTCAGGATCTGAAATGGAGGAGACAGAGACTAGTACTTCTGTCTTCCCCAGGGTAGGGATGCCCTCCTTATAAAGAACAGAAACATGTGACCACTATTCCTAATTTTATCCTCTGCCTCACTCTCTAAAAACCTGTTTCTTGTTTCTTCATGATTGAGATGATTGTTTCTTCAGGCCTAGGTTTCTATCCAGACTTTAATGAGGCAAGAGGCATCTGAGTTGTATGACCTTGGGCAAGAACCTTTTAATCTTCTTGAGCCTTGGTTTCTTTATCTGTAAAATGGGGATGATAATGCCCAAACTAGATTACTGTGGCTTTGTGTGTATGTGTGTGTGCAGTGCTGAGGACAACCAATGCCCTCCTGCATTCTAGATAAATGCTCTACCACTGACCTACAACCCAGTCCTGCTGTGATATTTAAACTTCATAACATGTGGAGATGCTTGCTACATAGTGGGTATACAACAAATGAGTGCTCTTTCCATTCAGAGAATGGCAATGTTCTGAGAGGACTGTCGGGGAGCGGGGGCGGGGGGGCGGTGGGAAGAGAGAAGGACCTGGAGGTTTCTGGGAACTCTCATATAAGAGAATCCAGAACTCTGTTAAGGGGCCATGGCCATGGGGACCTCTGAAATTTCTAGAGTGTTTATAATCCTCATGTCTAGTCTGACTTCATGCAGATCAGCAGTTCCATCCTTACCTTTCCTCTTTCTCTCTCCTCCACATCCAGACATCACAAACCACATCAATTTGGGGAATGCCCTGTTTGGACTCTGGGTAGTTCCATGACCCTCCTGGTGTAACCTGACCCAGACATCTAGGTACTCAGTCACTGGGATGTGTAAAGGATACCTGATTCTTTGTCTCTGTAGTTACCATAAACTTAAGACCTGACTACAAAGAGAATCCCAGTCTCTGGCCTCACCCCATTCTTGAACAAATAGTTGCCTGAATCTGGGTCAGAAGGGAAAGGTACCTTTCCTGGACACAGGGAGAATTACTGCTTGCCTGATCAACTATCCACAGGCAGTGGTTCTCCAAGATGTCTGTCTGGGCTTTAAAAAACACACATGCTTCAAGCCCTCTCAGACCTACTAAGTGTTTCAGGGGTGGGGCATGGAAATACTTTCTGAAAGTACCACAGGTGAAGGAGTTGTGAAGATAAGGTTGAACATACACTTTGCAGAAGTGTCACATTTGGAACTTCAGGGAAAGGTCTAAGCTCTACACAAGGAGACAAGAGAAGCCAATATTTTTTCCCTAAGTGGCTCCTGCAGACAGACCAGTTTGTTCCAGCTTCCCTGGCTCTCCAAGAGGAGGGAATCAGTCTGAGGTCACTGTATTCAACTGTTTAACCTCCCACCCTTCCTCATCACCATGGTAGAACTTGATAAAAGGTGCACTGATTGTTTTTTTTTGGTGGTACTGGAGTTTGAACTCAGGGCTTGGAGCTTGCTAGGCATGCGCTTGAGCCACTCCACCAGCTTCCTCCCACCCCCTATTTATTTGAGACAGTGACTCCCTATGTAGCCCAGGGTGGCTTTGAGCTCTCCATCCTCCTGCCTCTGCCTTCCTAGTGCTGGGATTATAAAACAGTTTTAACTAGGCCAAGGTGCACATATATGGTGCAGTGGAGAGGAACTCACATGAGATAGGAGAAGCCATGGATTCCTGCCTGCCCCTGTTCCAATCACTTATTAGCTGGATAATTTCGAACAATTCCCTTGCACTCTGTAAAATGGAAACAATAATCTATTATCTTTTTAAATGAGAAGTGAAGACCCAAATGGATGTAAAAGTATTCCAAAACCCCCTCTAAAAAAATAAGAAGGCAGGAGCTTATGTAGGTCAGGCAGTCAGATATATGTTCAGATTCTGACTCTGTCACTTAATTGACTGAGTGTGACTCTGGGCAAGTGATTTCATCCTATGCCTCAGTTTTCTCATTGCAAAATGGGAATAAATCCAGTAACTATCTCGAAACGTGGTGTGACAATTAAATGGGAATATCCATTTAGACAAACGATCATTTAGATCAATAAACGTCAGCCTTTACTTTTATTAACTGCATCTCGGGTCTCCAGCTACCTCCAAGCACAGGCTTTCTCAGCTATAAAACGCACCTTGGGCTTAAGTTTGGACCTTGCTATTCTTCCCCCTTCCTTGGACCCTGTCCCGCCCTTTCCAATCCTCAGCCTACCCTAAACCCTTTCAGGGACCCAGCCCCCTCCCCGGTTTTGGCACCGTCTCTTACTCGACGACCTTGGCTGGATCCCCATGGTTCCCATAGACCAGCGCCCGGACCCGGGGGTGCTCAGCGGATGCGGAGTAGGAGGCAGCACGACCGTGACGGCGCCAAACTGCTAGGAGCCGCGGTTGAAATCGCGCCGGGGCTCGCGTCCCCCACAGCGCGCCGCAGACCCACATGCTGCTGTCAGCAACAGAACCTGACGCGCTACGATACGTCATCTCCCTGCGCCCGCGCCGCGCATCGCCTCGCTCCGCCCCCACGCATTGCCCCGCCCCCGTCTCGCCCCGCCCCTGGGCCCATTTAAAGTACCGTCTCCTTCCATGTGGTGGCGCCTGGAGGTAGTATCTCGGGGATGAGGTGGGGGCCAAAGTTGGCGACCGAGGGTGGGAAATGCAGGGATCTGGGACAGTTGCAGAGCTTCCCAACCCGTCAAAGCAGCTTTTTCAGCAAGGAAAGTCTGGGACTGATCTAAAACTTCTCAAGCTGTGTTTACAGCTTGCGGTTTTGGTGTTTGGGGAAGCCATTTACCCTCCCCTGGCCTCAGTTTCCCCTTCCCACTATTTATTTAGCGTTCACTGTGCCAAGCCTCTTCTCCCTCCCTCCCTCCCTCCCTTCCTTCTTTCCTTCCCTCCCTTGCCTCTTTTCCCTTCTCTTCCTGAAGAGGGGATTGAACCCAGGTCCTCATGCTTGAGTTCTACCACTTGAGTTCCCCCCTCCTCCCACTTTTTAAGGTATTATTTAATTCCTGTTACTCTGCTATCTAGACCAGCTCAGGGAGGCAAAGCTTGCTTTCCTGCACTGAGTAGAGCAGACCTAAACTGATATGGAAACAGTAGTACTGGTCTCAGAGTTGGAAGACTTAGGTTCAGATCCTAGCCCTGCCACATTTTAGCTTGGGCAAGTGAATGAAACTACAAGTCTGTTTTCTCATCAGCACAATAGAGATAATATGTCTTCTTTCAGATCTTTGTGCAGATTGGATGAAACAAGAGAAGATTATTACCATAAACAGGAGAACATATTGTAAAGACCTTAATTAAGTGTGTTCAGACATCAGAGAAGAATCAGAAGAAGGGACCCTTTCAAAATGCTTACAGTGTGGAGAGGAATTAAGTGGGAAACGGGAAATTCTTTGTAAAAAGGTATAGCCTAGTAAAGCTGCTAGGTCTTACTTTTGGTGGAGAGAAGATATGAATGTAACCAACCCCCCAGTGGCACGTTAGTGCCTGCGAGTGCACTGCTGTAAGTCTGAAGAAGAGAGGTAGTCTGGAGCTGGGGCGGGAGCTCTTGGAGGAGGTGTTGTTGGAGTGCCTAGTAATCATTTGAGGTCCCATTTCAGACCTACTGAATTATAATCTTGGGGAGAGATCCAGGAGTATACATCCTTACAAGCTCCCAAGAATATGAGGGTGCAGGTGGCCCAGCGAACAGGCTTTGAGAGAGCTTGAGTGAAGGATAAGGAAGAGTTCCTTTCTCTGGATCCTGTTGATCTGGAGCTTGCCATCCAAGGCTTTCCTCTCACGAAGAGAGCACAGCAGAGTACCATGATTAAGACTGTGGGAACTAGACTCAGGAAAATCTGGCTTTGAGTCATGGCTCTGCCATTTTCCAGCTATTTGATTTTGGACTAGTCTTTTGGCTTCTCTGTATCCATTTCCTTATGGTTAAAATCAAGGGACTAGAGCTTGCCTAGCATGTGTGAGGTCCTAAGTTCAATGTCCAGGATTGAAAGAAAAAAGCCAAATTGAGGGATTGATCATTATCAGTTTCAAGGTTGTGATGAGAATCAAGTGAGCTGTTACATTTAGCACAATGCTTGGCATGTGGAATCACTTGGGGGTTATTGTGAAGATTAAATGAGAAATATCACATGTAAAAACTTATACTAAGGCCTGGCTCATAGTATATACTCAATAAGTGGTTATATTTATTGTTAGAGAAAATCGGTGTCCTGCAGTGGGGAAAAGACCTGGTCCCACAGTTGTGAGTGAGAGTGCGTGCACACACACACACACACACACACACAAAGTGTGCATACACTTGTTTTCATAGTGACACACAGACATACATGTTCCAGGAGATACAAAACAATCCTCTGATGTAAGACTCCCTAGGTGACATTGAGCTGTTAACATTATTATCTCTGCCATATTGGCTCCTCTCAATCTCTGGGCAGCCCAGCCAGGAAGCCTGCAGAATCAGTCTTCCTTCTTGGACCTGGACTTTGTTTCCCTCTGCAGCCCTGTACCCCTCACTTTTAGTCTAGGGTGTGTGGGTTCCCTCAGGGTCACAGTTTGAGAGCCACTGATTGAGGGGTTCAAGTTCAGTGGTCCTAGCCTTGAACTTTGATGCCCACTCTGTCTTTCCAGCATTATCTTTTACTGTTGCATTTTGCATTGCCTATGATCCAGCTGCACTGGTAACCACTTTTGCCAGCCCTTCCTTGTCTTACTCCTTCCCTGTCTTACCTACCTGTGAAACTCCAGGTTCAGATACCTTTTTTTTTTTTAAACTCAGGGCCTCATGCTTGCCAGGCAGGCAGTCTACCTCTTGGGCCACTCTGATAACCCTTTTTTTGTGTGTGTGTTTTTTGAGATAGGGGTCTTGCTTTTTGCCTGGTGGACTCAAACCACAATCCTCCTGATCTATGCCTCCTGAGAAGTTAGGATTACAGGCATGAACCACTGGCGCCAGACCAGATACCATTTTATTGGGTTAACACCTGTGCCTTTGTGTATTCTCTGGGTCAGTGTTAGGGCCTGTAGAACAATCGTCTCAGAGTTATTTATGTGCCCCAGGGAAAAGTGGGGCCTTGTTTGGTTCATCTCCATGACGCCAGCACTCAATATGGGGCCTGGCCCAGGCGAGGCATCATAAATATTCCATGAGTTGCAGGTAGTTGAATTTCCTCATGATCTGGTACTGTCTATGGTATCATCTCCATCTCCCTAGATTTGGGCCGGTCACTCCAGGCCAGGACTCTCCTTCTTCCTTTCTTCTTCTCAAGGATTATAGAAGTTGTGGTCCTTTAAAAGTAAAGCAGAGGCTAGGTTCCAGTGGCTTACACCTGTAACCCTAGCTACTCAGGAAACAGAGATCAGGAGGACTGTGGTTCGAAGCCAGCCTGGACAAATAGTTCAGGAGACCCTATCTTGAAAAAACCCAACACAAAAAAAAGGCTGGTGTAGTGGCTCAAGGTGTAGACCCTGAGTTCAAACCCCAGTACCGAAAAAAAAAAAGGAACCATTCAGATCTGGGTTCAAGTCTCAGGCCCACCTTGTACTCACTGTGTGACCTTAGGCAAGTACCTTATGCTCTCTAAGTCTCACCCATAAAATGAGATCAAATGCTGACTCCTGTCATGAAGCTTTCTCTCGAGTCCTCTGCAAATGGCATCCTTGATTGTTTCTCCAGGTCACCAGTTTTCTCTGCTTTTTTGGGTGGTCCTGTCTCTTCTTTGCTCCAGTATCTCTCTCCATTTCTTGCCTATCATGCTTTCCTGGCTCTGCCTGTTTCCCTGTGACTGTGTTTAACTTTCTGCCTCTGGTTCTTGCTTGCTCTGTCTTTGACTTCTTCAGAGAAGAAGCCTGGAGCTCCTCAGCCTGGAGCTCATTAGGGCTCACAGAGCCCAGGAATGCTCAGCTTTGCCCCCTCTAGCCCTAGAGCAGCTTCTGGGTGTACCAACCTCAGTATGAACCAGTAGAGAGAGGAGGCAGGGGACAGGGAGGGTCTATGTAAACTAAGAACTCCTAGGTTCTGACCAATGTCACTGTCCACTAGCTGCTTTGGGGACAAAAAAAAAAAAAAATCACAAATCAGAACTCATTACCCCTAAGCTCTGCTTAGGGCTTAAATGGCTTCCATTGCTTTTAGGGTTGAGCCCCAAGCCTCTTCCTTTCCCATAGTTTCTGGCATGACCTGCAGGCCCTGCTGACCTCTCCTCCCCACCCACTCCTTCCCAGCTGTCCTGGCCTCATTGCCACTCCTCAGACCTATTAAACTTTCTGCATAGGCTGTCCCTTCTGGCTGCAATGTTCCTCCCCACTGATTTTCACCAGGCTGGCCCCTTCTTATACTTGAGGTCTCATTTCACATGGCACCATGTCACTTCTCCAGCAAAGCCCTCTTGGATCACCTTATCTAAAGTGGGCACCCCTCCCCCATACTCCTTATCCTAACACTTCATCTCCTTGAACATTTGTATCTCAGATTGTACTTATGTATTTATGTATTTATTTACATTTGCTGTTGGTCTTCCTCACTAGAATGCAAGCTTCATGAAGGCAAGGACCATGTCTACATTTATTCTTTATTACTTATCCAGTTAATGTTTTTTGAGCACCAACTACATGCCAGACACCAGGCATTGATTAGGATACAGGACAAGTCCTTCCTTAGGGGAGCTCATATCCTAAAGATAGAGACAAAAAAATGAATCCAGCAAATATCAGGTGCTCTATTTAGAACTGTAACAATCCTCTTTCCTCTCATTGAATTCTCTGGTGTATGAGACAGGAATAACAGGTGTATGCCAGAGAATTTGCTATTGTTTTTAGTCTGTTTTGTATCTCCACCATAAACTACAGTTCTTTCCTCCCTCACCCCTCCCTCCCCTCCCCTCCCCCCCTCTCTCCCTCCTTCCTTCTTTCCTTCCTTCCTTGTCTCATTTGAGACCAGGTGATCTCAAACTTGAGATCCTCCCAGTGCTGGGTTCCAGGTGTGCACCACACATCCAGCTTGTAATTGTTGACAAATCAGTAGCTAGTAAAACAATCAGTATTTGTGAAATGAATGATTTTCAGGCAGATCTTAGCTCTTATTTAATTCAAACTAGATACCTTGATTCAAATCTTGGTGCGACCTCAAATAAATGTATACCCTTGGCAAAGTCTCTGTACCTCAATTTCCTCAAGTGTGTAATGGGGACGTGGTGGCATATGGGTAATGGGGTTGTGGTGAAAATGAAGGTAGTCCAAGTGCGAAAGCACACAGCCGGTGCCTGGTCTTACGTAGTTATGGGCAACTAGTTTGCAGGTCATTTGGGCAGAGCCCACATATACTTAAATCTGTGTAGTCAGAGGGTAGAGTAGGATGGGTAAGGTTAGTGAGGGAGGTGGAGTTCAAGTCCATGGAGAGGGAGCGCTTCGAAGTGCCCAATGGCCTCTCTTGGTAGCTGAGGAGCCGGGTCCT